GCTGGTCTCGAACTCCTGAGCTCAAGCAATCCTCCCACCTTAGCCTCCCAGAGTGCGAGGATTACAGGCGTGAGCCACCCTGCCCGGCCTAAATGATCTCTTAAATCATAAGTCAGAATTACTTGAAACTTCCTAGCATTTCACACCATGCCATCCTGCTTGAGCAGTTGCTTCATTACTCCGGCAGGTTAGTCCATGGGGAACTTATGCTTTATGAACATTTTTATTTTTTATTTTTGCTTTTACATGTACTACATAGTCTTATTGAGAAAATTTTTGGTACTTTTAAACTTCAGTGTGCCAAATGACAATTATACCATGCCACTTTTGTATTTTCTTGAAAATAAAAAACAAAGTAAAACAAACTTCAGCACTTCAGGAAAAGAGCACTAGACCAGCACACAGGGACCATTTGTCTGCTTGCCTCAGGGAAATGAGCCAGATCCCTGGCTGTCAGACGACTCTCTGCAATCCCCGAAGTCATTTCTGATGCCCACGTTTATGACTTTTTGCAAATGACATTTGTGCTTTCAGAGGCCTTCTCTACACTTGGCTGATACTGTTAAAATAGTTGAAAACCTTAAAATATATTGTAAAAGGGAATAGTTTAATCTGATATCAAGAGAAAATAATAGAGAAAATCCTTCTATTGAAGCTGGAAGCAGGAGGATTTTACATCGCCCGGCAGCTCTCTAGAGGCAGCTCATCATTTGAGCTACCACGAAAGTACAGTCGTCTCATGAAGGGAGGGGATCGCTCAGCCAACACCTGGATTTGGGATGCATCATCTGATGCACTTTTTCCCCCTGGAAGTTTCACTTAATTCATATTCTTGTCCTAGCCTTCTATTTAAATTCATTTTCTCTCCAAGACACCCTCATAAAATTGTTGCAAGAACTCAATGAGTTAATTCATGGAAAGTGCTCACTCCAGGGCTCGCACCTGCTACACGCCCTGCCGGTGTTGGCTGTCTTGCCGTTATATGCAAGCCCTTCGGCTGCCCAGCCCTGCTTCTGCTCCAGAATCTTACCTTAGGCAGTGACTTTGGAAGTTGGAAGCACAAGGGACAAGAACTCTGCCTCTCTCCTGCCTGGCTGGTGGGAACCTCTTCCCTCTGCTTTTCTTTCTGGAGACAAGAAATCTAGGTAGAATGGGGAGTGACTGCTAATGGCTATGGGTTTTTTGGAGGGGTGGGGGAGGGGGTGACGAAAATATTCTAGAATCAGATGCAAGCTATTTAGATAGTTTCTCCAAATATTTGTGAGAGTAAACTTGTGGGCATTGTTCTAAAGGGTGGAAGAAGGATCAATGAATCCAGAGCTGCATATCTCGAAGTATGTTCCTTGGACACAGATTCCCACAAAATGATCATTTAAAAGATAGTTCCACTGTCGTATAAGTTTAGGGTGTGCACAATTCCACACTTTCTTCTAGAAGGTTCTTGGTACATTGTATGTTAAAGGTTCTGAGAAGTCCTAGAGGAAAAGAACTAGTCTAACTGTGTGGCCAAGAGTTCCCTCACTTATTTTACCACATAACCTCGTTTTTTGCTATAAATGCTATGACTGATTCAGGAATAGTGTTCTTGGTGAGACCGGGAAGGGCCGGTTGGTGGGTGTGAAAGTGGCATCTCACGTTAGGGTGCCGGTGGGAAATCTTTGAAGAATGCTCTGTAAGGCTGGGGCATCTGACCGATGATACACCTCAAACTTCTGGTTCCTCCTCTGTCAAATCATTACATCAGTGGTTTTCAGACTTTAAAATGGAACACGTTTCAGAGTAAAACCCCAGTGTGAAATGTATTTATAAAAAGAGGCTCTGCTGGAATTGGAGTTGTGGCCGTGGGCGCCGTTTATCTGGCCTCCCTCCAAGCGCGTGCCATGGAAGGTGTCCTTCGAGCTGAGACCTACTGGACAAGCTGGGAGGTCCCCTAACATCCCTCCCATGGCTAAGCTTCTGCCTTTTCTTTTAGACGGATGTTCCCTGTCCTAAAGATCAGTGTCACCGGGCTGGACCCCAATGCCATGTACTCCCTCCTGCTGGACTTTGTCCCCATGGACAGTCACCGCTGGAAGTACGTCAATGGCGAGTGGGTGCCCGCGGGCAAGCCGGAGGTCTCCAGCCACAGCTGCGTCTACATCCACCCCGACTCCCCCAACTTCGGGGCCCACTGGATGAAAGCTCCCATCTCCTTCAGCAAAGTGAAGCTGACCAACAAGCTCAACGGAGGTGGGCAGGTATGAGCAGGTCGCCTGGCCACCCACCCTGGCCTCCCCGCAACACCCATCAAGAAATATCAAGGGTGCATTTAGGCAATTAGAGGTGTCCTCACCAGCCTCTTCTCCCACAGAAGCCAATTATTCCCTGGAGTCCAAATGTAAACAGGAATAAACAGCTCTTAATTGCTGCTTTCAGTTTTTAATGGACTTCCTGCTGTGGAGAGAGGGAGAGAGTGCAGTAGTTTACTTAATCATCAGGGCCCTTTTCATAGTTCCGTCTTGTGTGCAGGGCTTTTACCCAGCCCCCGAGGAAGATGTTCGTAGGTACCAGGGTTTTGTTAGTCCCTCTCCCCTTTTTTGGTGTAAGTGGCATTTTGGCAATAGACAAATACCTTAATAAAAAGCTGCTCCTAAATGAAATAATTACTACCCCAGCTTGGGCATTATGATAATTATCAATAGAATATTGAGGCAGCTTTGGTTTTTTCAGAAAAAAAATGATCCAAACAAACCTGAAATAAGGAAGGTTTTATTTAAGGCCTACAATTAGAGTAAACAAGATTTCGGGGCGCTTTCCTCTCGTTTTCTGTGGTAGGATTGTGAATTCTAGTCTGCTGTGCAAGGTTGTTAGTTACTTTATAAAATGCAGACTGTTTCTGGGGAACAGAGATGCGGCTGGGAGGGAGGAAGGGTCTGGATTCTTGTCCCGGCCTGCACGTGTGGCTCTCTCTGTGCGTGGTTGGCAGGGACCTGGGAGTTCAGGTTTTGGCAGGTGGAGGTAATGCCACCAAGCCTCTGCGTTACTCAGAAGGCTCTAGCTCTTTATTGAAACAGGAAATTGAAAAGTAAATTGTTATTGCCTACCGGATTTCACAACTCGAGACTTTCCATAACCTTTCCTTTGAATCATAAAGAGTAGATTATCTGTAACCATCAGATGTCAAATTTCATGACTCTGTAGTCACGTGTGAAATGCAGCCATTGTCAATATTTTGAGTTATTAGGATCCTCATATGAAAAAAGAACCCCAAACAATGTATTTTAATGGGTTGAAATCCACAGTATTGTGCTGAAAATAGGGGAAGGGAAAACAAGGAAGCCAGGATTTTGGCAGAAAACTGAGCATTCCTGAAAAGCGATTCCTCTCTGGTGACCCACCCCTCACCCCTGTGTGGGCTCCTGAACCCCCTCCCCATTCATTTCTCAGAGGTGCAGTGGCAGTGCCGGTGACCTAGGATTCGAAATGTGTGTCCCCAACCCGGGTGAGTGCTGAGCTTGGGACTAACCAAAGGCGTTGGCTCCGCCTGTCACCTGTGAAACACCGGGCTTTGCTTTTCTCTTCTTGGTCTTCCTCTCCCACCTCAACAGATAATGTTGAATTCTCTGCATAAATACGAACCCCAGGTTCACATAGTGCGTGTTGGAGGTGCCCACCGCATGGTAATGAACTGCTCCTTCCCTGAAACCCAGTTCATAGCTGTGACTGCCTATCAGAATGAGGAGGTAAGTTGTGTGTGTGTGTGTGTGTGTGTGTGTGTGTGAATGTCACCTGGGAGAGTGTGGCAGGTGGGGAGGGGGTCCTATTAGATGAAAGGTTTTCCAGGATTCAGATACACTCAGCGGATATGAAGTTAAACAATGGGGTAGCTGCTCTTCCAAGAGCGTGCCCTCTTCTGGCGTCAAGAAGGCACAGTTGTGCGTTGTTATAAAACTCCTGAGTTCTGTGGAAACTCAGAAGTCTTTGTTTTGGGCCCTGATGTGCCCTTGGCCTGCACAGAGCTGGGAGTGTCTGGAGTGGGCACGATGGGGCGGGGGCTGTGGGGTCGACTCTCCCCTGCTCTAGAAGCAGGTCTGTGGGAGGTGGTTCAAGGTACACGCTCTTTTGGGTTTATTATGCTCTCTGTCCTGCTTGCTAATGTTTAATATCCGAGCATGGTTAGGTCTTTTCCTGCCCAGTAACTTGAGCTGCTCTGGCTGTAAGAGCTGAGAGGTCAGCATCTGGCCTCTCCGAACTGCTCTGGGTCCGTCGCATACCCCGGGGTCCCCTGGTCTGCTGTTCACCGGCAGCACCCAGAGGGGGCCTCCTCTGGGCCCTGCCCTCTTGCCTGCTGCTGGCACTCTCAGTCAGTGGCAGCTCACCTTGCCATTTGGCTGCTGGCTTGGTAAACACTCCAAAGCACCCCCCACCCCTCCCCGCAGGTACCGGACGTTCTCTCTGAGCCACCTGACTGGCCATGGCAACCCAGCCAGCAGGCTCCCCGTCCTGACTCGGCTGGCTGTGTCTGGGTCTTAAACGTGCCCCATGGCAATCAAGCTCTGGAAAATCAGTCCCAGAGCCTCCCTCTGCCAACCATGTTTCCCTGGCAAGCCGACACAGACGCACCCTGAGAGGCCAGCAGGTGGGTGGGGGAGGCCAAAACCTCCATGGCACCCCCTGCTAGCTTTGTGTATGCCCCTTGACCTCTCCAGGTTTAAGCCCAGAGAAAGGCCAGGTCATACCTATTTGACCCCAAACCTCTCCTGCCTCTTTTTCCTATTTCCTCCCACAAGCTCTGGGCCAGAAAGAGTTGGGTTTTTATTTTGCTTTTCTTCCTTCCACTAGAGAACAGCAAGTCTCAGGCCTTTGCTGACATAAATATTCTTCTTAATATTTGTTTCACCCTCAAATACTCATTTGACTCAAATATTCAGCATGACTACGTGCTGGATATTGTTCTAGATGCTGGGACTACCACAGTGAATAAAGCAGATGAGTACCCTGTCCTCAAGGCCCTCACGTCCCGGTCGGGAGAGACAAAACCAAATATTTCTCTGTCTCTATCTCTGTCTCTGCCTCTGACATTCTCTGACATCATCTTAGTCAGATAGCTCTGACTAAGGGGATGGCGAGAGGATAGTGGATGGGAGCGATTGTTCTTGTTTGCATAGACACGGCCCAATGAACAAGTGATTGCTTAAGAGTGAGGGAATCGACTGTAGACCACCCTCTCCAGGAAAGGTGGGATCACTCTTGTGCTCCTCTCCACGGTGTTCCAAGTGACTAGAAAGGCAACTGACATGTGCTAGGGGCTCCATGATTGTTGAAGAAAATGAGCAAATGAATAAAACAATGAATGCTAGATTTAGCACACAGGGCTTTGCTCATTTCTAATGCTTTGCCCTTTCTTTTCTCACTTTACGTGGCATTTAGCATTTCACCACATGCCACAATAAAACGTTTTTTGCCAGAGACAGTGCGACAGTGATTTAGTGTAGGAGTAAGCAAAGGAACATGGAGAGGAGAAAAAAAAGAGATGGAATTATCCTGATTTTACATAAATGCGCAGGGGAAGACAAAGGGTTCGGTCTGCCCATATGTGTCCTGTTTTCACTAACACTTCTTGTCTTTGTAAATGCAAGATAACAGCTCTCAAAATCAAGTACAACCCTTTTGCCAAAGCCTTCTTGGATGCCAAGGAAAGGTGAGTAGAGAAATTCCAGTAAGATCTTATGAATTGACTTATGCATACGTGAAATTTATGATCATCTTGAAAGGAACTAGACTAGTAGCATATTACCTTTGATGGAAATGTGCTTTCAATATTCATTTCAATATTCAACAAGAGAGGGAAAGGCGGGGAGACAAGTGGGCGTGGCTATAAAAGGGCAACAGGAGGGACCCTTATGGGGATGGAAATGTTTGGGATCTTGGCTGTGTCCATGTAAATATTCTGGTTGTGATATTATACTATAGTTTTGAAAGTTATCACATTGGGGAAAACTGGGTGAAAGGTACAAGGAATCTCTCAGTATTATTTCTTACAGCTGCATGTGAGTCTATAATTGTCTCAGCAAACCCATCTAATTAAAAAACATATTCAACAAAATTCAACCAAATCATATTATCTGTTCATAATAGGGGTCCAAGAGAACCTTTAACTAGCAGTGTTTTGTCATCCCTGGTTTGCTCTAGATTCTTGAAAGTAGCACAATCCAATTTAAAAAATAATCAACTGATTTAGATTTATAATAATCAACTTTGCCATTCTCCTAATTACTTCTAAGTAGTATAGTTTTAACAAGTTTTTTTTTTCTTTCAAACTACTCTTAGCCTAGGAAAGGTGAGGAATGGTGGGAGGTTCACACTTCTCAGGGGAGAAAAGAAGCCAGAGACTTTGGGGGTGTGAGTGATGACTCTGCCACTTTGGCCCAGTGACTTGCCGTCTCTGTGTCTTTCTTTTCCATCCCAGGACAAAATAAAACATAATGGTGTTTATCATTGGCTTTGCCATTGACAAGGCCTATTGTATAAATATGGTTACCTTTGAAGTGTTCAGACTGTTTTGCTTGAATTTTAAATCTTTTCAGTATCACTTTGAAGGCTCTGAAAAGACTCTGGATGAGTGGCTGGGCATGGTGGCTCACGCCTGTAATCCTAGCACTCTGGGAGGCCGAGGAGGGCAGATCCTTTGAGTTCAGGAGTTTGAGACCAGCTCTGAGCAAGAGCAAGACCCCCGTCTCTGCTAAAAAAAATAGAAAGAAATTAGCTGGACAACTAAAAATATATAGAAAAAAGATTAGCCAGGCATGGCGGCACATGCCTGTAGTCCCAGCTACTTGGGAGGCTGAGGCAGGAGGATCGCTTGAGCCCAGGAATTTGAGGTTGCTGTGAGCTAGGCTGACGCCATGGCACTCTAGCACAGGCAACAGAGAGACACTCTGTCTAAAAACAAAAAAAAAGACTCTGGATGAATGGACAGATGTTTGTAATGATATGTCATCTGTCCTGTTCAATATTCAAATATTTTGATGCTGGATAAGACGTAATTGTAACTTTTTCAGTTAGCGAAAGGCCTAAAAAGCAACGTGATATGTGAGAAAACAGAATCTAGATTCAAAAGGATAGGAACATGGTATACTAAAAAGAATTTAGCACTATGAGTGAGGGGCCCGAGTCCTCCCTCTGTCGTTACCTGGTTGTTTGCTCTTGCATAAATCAGTTTACCTCCCTGAGATCCACTTTTCTAATCTTTGGAATTAGAAAAGTATAATAACATTTCCCTCACAGGTTGCTGTTGGATCTAACATACCATATGCTAGAATGTGTGCCCTGACGTCCCGTGCACATCTTAGGACTTGCTTGCATCTTGCCAGGCAGGAGCAATGACCCCGGATCGGTCAGATCAAAGTAAACAGGGCTAGCTGTACTACGGTGAAGAGGGGTAAACGTAAAATTGCAGCTCAGAGAGCAATTGCACAAGTAGGGACAGTGCCCTGGAGGCAGGAGAATGGGGGAAGGACAGCAGCTTTGAGAAAAAAGGTGTTTGGTTTTCTTGTTCCAAGAAATAGATTGCTTTCCAAAGGGAATTTGGGGTGTGCGTTATGCTGGACTTGTGTAATAAGCTGGACGGCCATGGTGCCCTTTTGTTGTTCTTTCAGAAATCACCTAAAAGATGTTCCAGAGGCTGTGTCGGAGAGCCAGCATGTGGCCTATTCTCACCGTGAGTTGGGTGACCGGGAGGTGGGAGGTGCGGGGTCATGCTAGGAACAATCTCTCGCCACACTCAGATTTGTTACCTGCCGTGGCTGCTTAAGGCCTATTCCAGTGTTACACCCAGCAGGTTATTTCTTCTGCTCTGGACAAGTTTATGCCCTTCCCAGAATTCCCAGAGAGAGCTGGTGGTCATAGGCTTAGGGAGCTTAAACAAATTTAAGGCAGGAGATAAGATTGGGAATGATGAATTTCTTAGACTCTAGTTTTTAAAAAATATTTGGGTAATTATACATAGAGTTGTCTGTATAGGGTACATGTGATGTTTTGATCCAGGCATGCAATGTGAATGAATCAAATCAGGGCAGTTGGGATATCCATCACCTCAGGAATTTTTCATTTCTTTGTGTTAGGAACATTCCCATTCCACTCTTTTAGTTATTTAAAAGTATACCCAGCTTATTATTGCGGTCACTTTATTGTGCTATCAAATATTTTTTATTGTATCTAATCATCTAACTGTATTTTTTTACCCTTTAACCATCTCCACTTTATTTCCCCTCCCTGCTACCCTTCCCTACCACTGGTAACCATGATTTCTACTCTCTTTCTCCATGAGATGAATTGTTTTTAATATTTAGCTCTCATATATGAATGAGAACTTGAGAGATTTGTCTTTCTGTGCTTGGCTTATTTCACTTAACATAATGTTCTCCAGTTCCATCCAAGTTGTTGCAAATTCTTTTTTCTGGCTATATAGTATTCCATTGTGTATATGTACCACACTTTCTTTTTTTTTTAACATTCTTTTTCTTTTTTTTTTAATGAAGGGGTGGGGGTTCGTGAGCAGGGGTATTCAGGTGCCTTGTTTTTTTGTTGTTGTTGTTGAGACAGAGTTTCACTCTGTTGCCCTGGGTAGAGTTAAGTGGCATCATTTTAGTTCACTGCAACCTCCAACTCCTGGGCTCTAAGCGATCCTTCTGCCTCAGCCTCCTGGGTAGCTGGGATGACAGGCGCTCATTGCAATGCCCCGCTGGTTTTTTTTTTTCTTTCATTTTGGTAGAGATAGGGTCTCACTCTTACTCAGGCTGGTCTTGAACTTCTGAACTCAAGCAATCCTCCCACCTTATCCTCCCAGAGTGCTAGGATTATAGGTGTGAGCCACTGCACCTGGCCTGTACCTCAATTTCTTTATCCATTCCTCTGTTGATGGACACTTAGGTTGATTCCAAATCTTGGCTATTGTGAATAGTGCTGCAATAAACACTGGGTGTGGATTTCTTTTTGATATACTGAATTCCTCTCCTTTGAATATATACCCAGCTGTGGGATTGCGGAGTCATATGGTAGTTCTATTTTTAGTTTTTTGAGGAACCTCCATACTGTTCTCCATAGTGGTTGCACTAATTTACATTCCCACCAACAGTGTACTAGGGTTCCCCTTTCTTCACATACTCACCAGCATTCATTATTAGCCTGTCTTTTTGATAAAAGCCATTTTAACTGGTGTGAGATGATATGTCATGGTAGTTTTGATTTGCATTTCTCTGATGACTATAAAGTTGAGCATTTTTTCATATACCTGTTGGCCATTTGTATGTATTCTTTTGAGAAATGTCTATTCAGATCCTTTGCCCATTTTAAATTGGATTATATGATTTTTTTCCTCTTGAGATGTTGGAGCTCCTTATATATTCTAGTTATTAATCCCGTGTCAGGTGGGTAGTATGCAAATATTTTCTCCCATTCTGTGGGTTGACTCTTCTCTTTGTTGATTGTTTCCTTCACTGTGCAGAAGCTTTTTAGCTTGATGTGGTTCCATTTGTTTAATTTTGTTTTGATTGTCTGTGCTTTGGGAAGTCCTTGCCTAAACCAATATCCTGGCTGGGCACAGTGGCTCACACCTGTAATCCTAGCACTCTGGGAGGCCAAGGTGGGAGGATCACTTGAAGTTAAGAGTTAGAGATCAGCCTGAGCAACAGCGAAACCCCATCTCTACTAAAAATAGAAAAAATTAGCCGAGCGTGGTGGCATGCACCTGTAGTCCCAGCTACTTGGGAGGCTGAGGCAGGAGGATCGCTTGAGCCCAGCAGTTTGGGGTTGCTATGAGATAGGCTGACGCCATGGCACTCTAG